GGGGGGGAGGGGCGAGGGGTGTGTCTTTGATGAGGGCACCACACCATCGTGTACGATCTCAAACTAAAACTAAAAATTAGCTGAAGGGAAAAGAGTGGAGAGGGAGGGGGGGGGGTCGTCTTCTGGTAGAGACAGTCTTGGGGACTGTCTCGAAATAAACCACGGGGCGTCCTGAGCGTCGTTGTCGTCGAGGACTCGGTGCGCGGGGCGAGTGCGAGCGCGTCGCGGTCGGGCTCGTTACCCGCCGTCTCGTCTTCTTCGCTCGTTTAAAATTGAAATTGTTGCTGATCGGCGGTTGATAAGACTCAAGCCCAGGCAGGCAGCCGGTGCTGAAGACGCCGCCGTGGCCGCGGCTCGGCTCGGCTCGGCTCGGCTCGGCTCGGCTCGGAGCGGTCCGGTCCGGACGCGCTTTTTGCAGGCCCGCCCGCGCAATTTCAAGGGCGTCTCTCTCTGCGGTGCGCTAGGGTGGCGTGCGGAACCTGCGATAATTAGAAACGCGCGCACAACACCAACAACAATAAGAGTGGAGGGGGGGGGCTGAAGAAAACTCGCGCACGCGTGTCTTGAACCTCCTATACCATATCAGGGGAAGTCTTTCATCTACAAAAACCTCCTACAAAAGTTTGACGCGATTTTACTCGACTTGCACGTTAGTTTTCGCAAGTTGGTTGAGGAGGGCAGATGTACAACGAGTTAGCGAGTAGGGGACCCAGCTCGCCTCGCGGGAGAACGACGGGGTGCTGCATGTGACGGAGCGGGGGAGGGGGGGGCGAGGATGACGTCCGTATTGAGCACGGGTGGTCCTCGCGTCGCGCTGCATCTTCTGCGACTGCGAGAGGCGCAGGGAGCAGAGAATGAGGAGGAAGGAGGATCCACCGCAAATAAACAGGCGTGCACGCACACAGTCGCGCACTGTGCTCGGTGTGGCGTTCTGTTCGTCGTGTTCGTATAGGCGCCCAGCGTCAAAAGAGACCCGACCATACGGTGTAAACTTTTCGGCATTTTCAACCATGGTTTCTTTATTTAAAACCAGCAACCACACACTCGAGGGCCCGCTCTGTATGCTATATAGTAAGGAGGACGAGGGGACTTTGCCCTCTGGTAGAGACAGTCTTTAGGAGACTGTCTAAAATTTAAAGAATAGTTCCAGTTAGTGAACCTGCCGCGTCATGTCACTCGGATGTCAAAAGGCGCTGCTGGGCTGCTGCTCGTCTTTTTTCGCTAATGTATTCCCCCCCCCTCCCCTCTCTTCTCGGGTTAATGCCTCCCGAGCCCTATCCCGTCGGTGTTTATGGTCCGTGCCTCTACATGACACATCCTGCCGTTGTCTTTTTTTGCTCTATCTCTCTCTCTCTCCCTCTCTCTCTCTCTCCCTCTCTCTCTTTCTCTGTTCTCTCTCTCTAATCTTCGCCCATGTTGA